TAAATAAATTCTCAAGGAGGTTCCTTAGGGAGTGGACGTAGGCCTGGCGTGCCGAACAACTATAAATCTCAGTGTTTGATTTTCTCTCCATATTTCTCTTACTTTTATATTGATAATTATTATTCTGTTTTTTTTATTTATTAAACTTCTGAATATTGTGTTAATTTTAATATTGTGAAATTTTTAATAACCCAATTCACTCACCTCTTGCGTTGCCTACCTGGGATAACAGTAATTAATGGAAACACCTAATTTTTTCTTTATATAGTAATAAAAATTTAATTTAATTTAAATTTCGAAGGAAAAATATTATAAGGGAAAGATTTAGAAAAGATTTAATGGTAATTAATAAAAATTCCTAATATGCTTCCTTATATAGTAACTAATTTAATTTAAAATGACTCTATTTGAAAAATGATATATAAGTTCATTTTTCAGACTCATTTTCTAGACCCAATGATGTGTAAATGATATGATTGGTTGATGATTAGAGAAAATATAAGAGAGAATGTTGGATTTAATATCTTAATTGATTGTCATATCATTGGACTTAAAATTGTATATAATTTTTGGTCTTGAATATCACAGCTTGTTTGGTTTCATTTTTTTGAAAATAATTTTCAAAAAATTCTACTTTCTTGTTTTCTGTATTTTTTTGTTTTTACTGAATTTTTTAAATATTTTAAGCAATTTTTTTAATTTTTAGACACACTTAACATAAATACACTTAAAAAGTATTTTAAAAATTCAATAAACACCAAAAATACAAAAAAATTAGTATATTTTTCATATTTTTATGTATTTGTTAATTTTTTAAAACATTTTTTCATAATTTTTTTGCTTTTTAGATACATCTAAGTAAGGTGCATCTAAAAAAGTAAAAAAAATACTTAAAATTTTAAAAATATTCACTAAAAACAAAAAAACACGAAAAATAAAAAATTCGGTTTTAAAAAAAAATTAATCTAGAAAACTCAAACCAAACACTACGTACTCTTTTCAATTATATAAAAATGAAAAATGTTATGAACTCCAAATAAATTATCAAAATTTCTATCAAAACCCTCACATGAGGGTAAGATCTACACAAATCACATGTGTGGGTCCCACACTCATGTGAGAGGTTTAGTAAAAAATTTTGTAATTTATTTGAGATCCCTAGTATAACTCTATAAAAATTTCATAAATCTAATATTATAGGGGAAAGATTTAATGGTAATTAATAAAAATTCCTAATCTGTTTCTTTATATAGTAACTAATTTAATTTAAAATGTTTCTATTTGAAAAATGATTTATAAGTTCACTTTTTAGACTCATTTTCAGACCTAAGATGTGTAAGTGATATGATTGGTTGATGATTAGAGAAAATATAAGAGAGAATGTTGGATTTAATATCCCAATTGATTGCCATATCACTAGACTTGAAATTTGATATAATTTTTGGTCTTGAATATCAATACTTTTTTCAATTATATAAAAATGAAAAATGTTATGGATGTCAAATAAATTACCAAATTTTCTACCAAACCTCTCACATGGGTGTGGGACCCATGGGTCCCACACCCATGTGAGAGGTTTGGTAGAAAATTTGTTAATTTATTTGGAATCCCTAATATAATTCTATAAAAATTTCATAAATCTAATATTATAAGGGAAAGATTTAATGGTAATTAATAAAAATTCCTAATATGTTTCTTTACATAGTAACTAATTTAATTTAAAATGTCTCTATTTGAAAAATGATATATAAGTTCATTTTCCAGATTCATTTTCTAGACCCAATGATGTCTATGTGATATGATTAGTTGATGATTAGAGAAAATATAAAAGAGAATGTTGGATTTAATATTCTAATTAATTGCCATATCACTCGACTTGAAATTGGATTTAATTTTTGGCCTTGAATATCAATACTCTTTTCAATTATATAAAAATTTCATAAATCTAAGAAAAATAAATGAGATGTTTACGAGCATTTTCAATGTGCTTTTTAAAAAAGGCTTATTGACTATTATAGCTAGTATTAACTTATTTTACTCATTCTAATGGACTAGTTATTACAATAATTATTTTAATAAAAAATTTCAAGACTAATTATATTTAGAGAGTTTTGGAAGACTTTGTAAACAGTTTCTGTGGATAAATACATATAATTAATAATAGCATACATTGATAAGAAAAAAAAATTAGATAAAATAAAGAATATACCACTTTCATATTTTAGGTAGTGAAAAATGAAGATAATGATTAGAGTTGCTCTAAGGCTCAATGAATTAAAAATGTTTTGTAATTTATAATAATTTAGATTTCACTTCACGGTTTACCATTTTCTCTTTTCATTAATATTCACAATATAAATTATTAAAATCATTTATTCACAACTCGTAATCTAGCACAACTAATATAATTTGAACATTATTATTCCAGATCAAAAATTAGATTTAATTTTTAAGTTTTGTGATAATCAATTAGGATATTAAAAGTAATTCTCTCTCATATCTTTTTTAATTATTAACCAATCATATCACTTATACATCATTGAATTTAGAAAAAAATACTATGGATCCCAAAAAAATTACTAAATTTTTTATCAAACTTATCACATAGATGTGAGATTCACACAAATCATGTGTGTGGGTCCCACACCCATGTGAAATGTTTAGTAGTTTATTTGATAATTTATTTAGGCCAAGTTTGAGAAGACTAAAAATGTGTAATAAAAAATTGTAAAAATTGATTTGTAAGGAAAAATTTGAATTGGGAGTTGTGCAGCCGTAATTGTTGACTTTTGGTGAATAGTGTTAACTTTTTAGCTTTTTGAGTAACTTTTTGACTTTTTGACTTTTTTAGATCTTCCCAAACTTGACCTTAGAATCCGTAATATGACTCATTTAGAAACTGAGTTTATATATCATTTTTCATATAATTTGTACTATTAATAAGGATGTCACTCTACCATTAACACCCAAATTTTATTCTATAAAGATACAATTAATATAATATTACTAAATGATTTTTTATTAATCAAAATACCTGATAGATAGACATCTAATAAATTTCCATATCATATATACATTACTATTATTATTGTTTTTAAAAAAGAAAATGGTCAAAGCACCAAAACTTTCCATGATTATTTGGTTAGTAAAGTCATCCATGAGGACTTATGCTCCTCCACATGTACATGCGTCATACTTTGGTTGGTTTATAGTTTTCAACAATTTACATTCCAATTGGCTTTCTATTATATACGTATAATTCCAAGTATTTTTTTTTTATTTCTTTTTTTATGGTTGGATGATGAGGACAAGTATGTCCTTTGTGCAGAAAAGCAAAAGAAGAAAATGAAATCCCCAATTTACAAAACCTTGTTCCTGTTTTTGTTTTTTTTTCTCAGACATCACCACAAGGGCACCAAAAACTCCAAAATCACTTATAGACAAGACAACACTACATCCAAATACCCACCCATACCCACATGTATTTTAACCTTGTCATATATGTTTAACTTTAACTTGATTCATTTGGGGATAATATTATACAAAAAGAATACATATACTGTAAGATCAAGAAAAAAGTGATTAAAAAAATAGCTAAAAAATAAAGTATACAGATCAGATTTATTTTAAATATAATTCATATTATATTAAGGTCAAGTTTGGCGAGTCTCAAAAAAGTCAAAAAGTAAAAAAGTTACTCAAAAATTAAAAAGCTATCACTATTCATCAAAAGTTAACAATTACGGCTGCACAACTCCCAATACTAATTTTTCTCTACACATTAATTTATACAATTTTTTAATACACATTTTTTCATAAAAAGTTAAAAAGTTAACCCAAATATTCATATTTTCAACCTCAACTTTTTAGTCTAAAAAAACAAAAAGTACACTTATTTAGGACACCCCAAACAACTCCTAAATTTTGAAAATTACGTCACAAAATTCATTTTCTAATTATTTTTTTAGAAAACTCCAAAATCACTTATAGACAAGACAACACTACATCCAAATACCCACCCATACCCACATGTATTTTAACCTTGTCATATATGTTTAACTTTAACTTGATTCATTTGGGGATAATATTATACAAAAAGAATACATATACTGTAAGATCAAGAAAAAAGTGATTAAAAAAATAGCTAAAAAATAAAGTATACAGATCAGATTTATTTTAAATATAATTCATATTATATTAAGGTCAAGTTTGGCGAGTCTCAAAAAAGTCAAAAAGTAAAAAAGTTACTCAAAAATTAAAAAGCTATCACTATTCATCAAAAGTTAACAATTACGGCTGCACAACTCCCAATACTAATTTTTCTCTACACATTAATTTATACAATTTTTTAATACACATTTTTTCATAAAAAGTTAAAAAGTTAACCTAAATATTCATATTTTCAACCTCAACTTTTTAGTCTAAAAAGACAAAAAGTACACTTATTTAGGACACCCCAAACAACTCCTAAATTTTGAAAATTACGTCACTAAATTCATTTTCTAATTATTTTTTTAGACCTTTCTGGTTCCATAATTTTTATTACTATTATTTTTATTTATATAAAATGATGTGACTAAATTGAGACTTGGCCTCGTTTGGCATATGTCTGTTTTAGCCTAAAAGTCAAAAAGTTATTAAAAAAATAAAAAAATCAAAGATTCTATTTTATCTCTACTTCTCGTGAAAAATCAGAAAGTCAAAGTTTTTATTTACCTCATATTCTAGCCAAAAAACTAAAACATTACTAAAATAACATGTTCCCAAACGAAACCTTATTATTTTAAAACAAAATAGGGAATTTCTAAATACAACTTGTAAATATTTTTTTACACCCACTCATAAATGAGTTTCTTTTTAAGGTACAATCACAATTCCAGAAATTTAAAAGGTGTATTTGGAAACTTGCATAGAGTTGATGAATTATCTATATAAAAATGATGTAATAATTCAGATTTTTTTTTTTTTCCATTCATTCATATAAATACGGACACTGTGTCCATGTTTTTGATTATCAAAGCACCCACCGTGCCCAAAAACTTTCTTTTGATTGGTCTCTCTCTCAAACGCAATGACTACTTTCTCAGAGGTTTATACAAACAATCCTCTCCAACTTCACCATATCATCCCCCTCGACTTCAACTCTCTCCAAGCTGTACCAGACTCCCACATATGGCCTAAATCCGATGATGATGTCCCAACATCCGATGAATATTTGTCGATTCCGATCGTGGACCTCATGGATCCCGATGTCGTGGACCGTGTCAGCCATGCATGTCAGACATGGGGGATCTTTCAAGTCACCAACCATGGACTTTCTCCGAGTCTTTTGGAGGGTGTCGAGGAGGAGACGTGGCGGCTATTCTCTCTCCCGGTCCCGGAGAAGATGAAGGTGCTCCGATTGCCTGACGGAGCCACCGGTTATGGCACTGCTCGGATAGCTCCTTTCTACTCCAAGTCCATGTGGCATGAAGGGTTCACCATCATAGGAGGCTCTTTTGTTGAGCATGCTAAGGTTCTTTGGCCTAATGACTATAAACGCTTTTGGTAAGTCCCATGCACTTTCATGCACGTAGATAAATTGAGAATGATGGTTTCAGGATGCCAGAGGTTTTGTTTGGGAGCAACTTTGGACAACAAGAAATGATACATGTCACTGTTTGTTTGTTTGTTTGTTACTGTATTGGATATTTATATTGATTTTACGTTTTTGACATAATTATTAACAAAATATTGATTTTAAAAACACATAAAAAAAAAAAAATAGAATTGCCACATAATCCATACGAATCCTATCTGTTTATAAAAATTCTATCTATTTATTTATTTTCTGGTTTTGGGTTTGTTTCTAAATTTGTTGTTAAAGAAATAATAAAAAGACAAATAATATCTTGCTATATAACTCTATAACATAAAATAATAATAATAAAAAACGATGATATACAGTTGCTAATAAAAAATGGTATATGCTTATTTTTCAGAAAATGAGGGTAAAGGTGATTAGACATGAGTTTGAAGCAAAACAACACATGTATAGCTCCTTTTGACTTCATCCAAAGGGAAGAGTCTCTGCCTACTTTCTATAAAGTTACCAGCTCAACACGTTCCACAAACTTATCTAGAGAAGACTATTTTAACAAGATTATACAAATATAATTTATATATAGAGAGAGATATGACTATGGTCTTGTCTTATTGAAACAAAAGAGTAATAACTTTATTTCATCCTTAAAAAAAAAAAAAAAAAAACTTCGTATTTTTAAATTGTTTTTTTTTCTGGAAGTTAAAATTTTGACTTCTCCCAAGATTTTAAAAGACATAAATACATCATAAGAATCACTTTCATTACAATTGATGCACAGATTTAAGAGAGAGGTGGGATTTGTAACATCAATACATAAAAATAAAAATAAAAATCTCAAATTAAGCCATGCATGGATACAACTATTCATATACAGGTAAATATAAAAAATGATTTTAAATAACTATGTATTGATATTGATAATAGCTGACATCGGATATGATATATTGGTGAATAATAACATCCAAATTCTAAAATCTCAACTCATATTTAAAACAAAGAAATATGTAAAAAAAAATATATTGAGATTCTAATTATTTTATCATTATTCACACTTTTATTTAATTATTTTTCTTCCACTTTCTAATCTTGTTTCCATGGATTCACAGTGACGTAATCGATGAGTGCCAGAAGAGCATGAAAACCCTAGCACACAAACTCTTGCACATCATCCTCAAGTCTCTCAACCTCTCCGAAGAACAAGAATCAAACTGGGCAACAATGATTCATCAATCCGAAACCAATGCGTTACAACTAAATTCCTACCCTACATGCCCGGACCCGAACCAAGCCATCGGCCTACCACCCCACACCGACTCACTCCTCCTCACCATCCTCCACCATTCCAACACCTCTGGCCTCCAAATCTTCCGTGATGGCGGCTTCGGATGGGTACCGGTTTCTTCTTTCCCCGGTGCGCTCACCGTCAATGTCGGCGACCTCCTCCACATCTTGTCCAATGGAAAGTTTCCGACGGTTTATCACCGGGTGGTCGTGAGTGGGACCTGCCACCGGGTCTCTATGGGGTATTTTTATGGTCTGCCGGTTGACTCGACGGTTGAACCACTTTCTAAGGTTGAGTTTCCGATGTATAAGTCTTTGACTGTGAGAGAGTATATTGGGATTAAGAACGAGTGCCATGAAAAGGCACTTTCTTTGATTAGAATCTAGGGTTTGATGTTCAAAGATGAATAAATTCAAAATGACGCAGTTCATTTTAGTTAAGATGTTTATAATTTTGATTCGTTTTTATTTATACAAAATGCAGTGGTTAGGTTATGAGTTGGAACCTTATCAAATTAAATATATAAAAATAAAATAAAAAATCTAGATCTCTTTTACTTACAAAAAATATCATTCCATTTAATGTGCTAATTTGGTTTCAACTTATTCAATTTGCAATTAAATGGTTGTCCAGATTTTGTTGAACAAAAAATACCTTCAATTTGTTTTTTTTAATTTTAATTTTTTTATTTATAAAATTTGGATGAAAACCAGCTAACACCATTTAAATAAAAATTGAATAAATTAAAGATGAAATTAACATAATCAAAATGTATAGAATAAAAATAGCAAAAGCACATTATTTGGAGAACTAACAATTTATTTAATCTAAAAGAACTTTAGCACCAACTCATCAATAATATTTATGAAAAATACTAGGAGCCACCCTTATGGATCCCAAATTTACTTGAATGTGTTTGTGTGGTGAAAATTGAATTGATAAATTGTGAGGTTTATATATAAAATGAATTTAATCTATTGTTTTGTTTTTCTGTATAAATTCTAAGTTGATAAGAGTGGGTTTGTAATATTGTTGAATATTTATTATTCCCAAATGTGACCAATAACTATCTCTTCTATCATATAAACTTCGTGTTATATTAGAGTCTTATCATTGAATTGCTTCATGACACAAGACACTATTGTGTTCATCGTAATTCAGGCTATTTTTTATTTTTATAATCAGGTATCTAAATTAGCTTAGGCACATCTCATTATATATGCTCATGCATGTAGAAGCATATATTCTTTTTCTAAAATATTTCTGCTTAGCCAAATTTGATTGCTACTTTTTCCTCTGAAATATTATTAGTAAATTACATTGACCTTTTTTAAGATTTAAAAAAAATACAATAAATTTTATAATTTTAGTATAATTAAAAGAACAATTAGGATAAGAATAACAATACATATAAGGACAAGAGCTGCTTAACAAGCTAGTTTGTTAAGAATAATAATAACAGTACATATAATAATTAATAAGGACAAGAGCAGCTTAACAAGCTAGTTTGTCTTGATCTTCCAGTGACTCATGTTATACTTTTGTTGTTAACTATGGTGTGTGACTCTGATTTTGAAATAAATATTAATCATCTGATCTTATTCCCAAAACCACACATAAGGACATAATGAAGGGAGAGTTGCGTGCTCAAGTTGCAAACTTACATCAAATCACACATGATGTAACTCCAAATTTAACCATCTTTAACATCAGTACAAAAGAATCTTGAAACATCTTTTAAGCTAACATCAGATTTGAAAATTCAAGACCTAGGGTGTTTACGTTACGTATTAAAAAAAACCATTTTGTTGCATAGAAAAGGGCACCGAATAGTGTCGAGTGTATTTTTTAATTAAGTTTTAAAAGTAATTCTGTGTGCCCAAAAAATCTATGTGCAGAATGCACAGAAAGCTCTCACAAGGGGTTCGGGCTTACCGCGTGTAGCCCACTTCTTTTAAATCTTACTTCATTGCTTTCTTTTAAATCCTACCCTAAATCCAAAATCCTTCATGTTTTCATATCAATCCATTACTTATTTGAATTCACTTTTTAGACTGTTGCTCTAAGATGTCATATCATAATTTTAGAGTTCAAAAACTCCTCCAAACCCTATATCATCAATTACAATGTCTGCATAAAACCATAAGCTATATACAAAAATAGCACCTGCTATTAGAAAAAATTGCAATGAGTACTTTAGAGAGAAATGGTTTTGGGTAAATTTTGAAAATCAGATCACAACTTGTCTTAAATGTATTGTTGTTCTTAAGTTGAACTTCACTTTTCAACAAATTTCAAATAGGATGTAAATAAAGGTCATTAGCAGCTATGTGTTATATGTGTGTTCTCTAAGTTTCTGATTTGTATCTCGACATAAAAGTATCTTCAGTGATTAATGTCAAAATAATAATTTTTTTCTTTTTGTTTTGAGCAGCAAACAAAAAAGAAAAATTTTATTAACATAGAAATATTACACAATGGTTTGGGAAAGTTGCATCAAAGTCAAAGTAAACATTCCAACTAGATTGGCACCTAACGCTAGACTAATCATATGCATTCTCAAAACTCCCAAAAGGGTGTTTGGGAAGGATTTTTTTTGATTTTTTTACATTAAAAAACAAATTGGTTACAAAACAAAAAAAAAAACAAATCCAAATAAAATATCACATCAAATTCTATAATCACTTCATTTTTTCTCTTACAAACATTACATCTAATTACAAGAAAACCCAATTATCTTTCCAAACACAAAAAAAAATTTCTCCAATAATATCCTACAACTAAAAAAACTTACAAAAAAACCCACTTCTCAAACACCAACTTAGAAAGATTCCAACTCGCACAAAACTGTCACTCCAGCAAAAACACTACATAACACTCCAAAAATGAGCATCACATCCGACCACCTATACACTTTCTAATCCGATAGATATTGAACAGGAAATTATTAATGGAGTATGGAAATCACTGAATGAAGCTTTCAACCAAATAGCTAGTTTGGTGATGATTGACTCCTGTAACTCTCCCATCTTTGGTTGGACACCATTGAACAAGCAGCAACAAGAGGGACAGCTTTCCAAATTCTTCTCTCTGTTTTGTTAAAGCAGATCCCACCATTGCGACAAGCATTCAACTGATCTAGGCACTACACAAGATAAGCACATGCTCTACCGTCTCTAATTCATTCTTGCAGAAAACACACTGAGAAGATACCCTCCCATCCAATGTCAAAATAATAATATTAAAGTCAAATTTTGTCTTACTACAGTGCCAAATGCTATAATTTGATAATTCTTTTTTAATGGGAGTATTTGGGAAGAAGGTTGGACTAAAATAATTTATTAAAAGACAAAATAGATTAAAATAGTTAATAAAATAAAATGTCACATTCAACTCATAATTATTTTATTTTTATTTTTTCACTCGCAACCATCAAATCAATTATAAAAAAAAGTCAACCAACTTCTTAAACACAATTATTTTAATCAAGTTAAAATAGTCAAAAACTCAAATAATCAACTAAAATAGTCAACTTCCCGAATAAGGCAATTATAACATGCTATCTATTTTATATTTGTCACAAAATGCTAAATGAAAATTCCAATTTTGGGGGCTAGCTGTTTGGTCCAACAATATCAATCACCAAAATCTACCCACTCTTGGTAGTTGTTAGCCAGCTGCTTGGTCTCCTTTACCTATTTACATTATTATTCACACCTATTTTGTCCTCTCTCAAGATAGTTACTTAGGCATCAAAGAAAATAATCAAAAAGGTCTTTGAATTGTATTGAGATAAAACAATTGCTTGCTAGCTAGGATGTGAATATCCCTGTTGTTGTTAATCACTGTGGTTTAATTGGTGGTTGGTTGTAGAATACACCATGGCAAAGTTTGACACCCTTTCACACTTTTTAAATAGAAAAGCAGAAAATGTCTAGAAATTTATCCACAATATTAATATGTAGTATGGATTATATGAAAGTCACACTTAAAATAACTATGTTTTAAATATTTTCCTAAATCAATTTTTGAATACCTAAACTTTTTGAAAAGTCTTTGGATACTCCAAACAAGTTGATTGATTGGTTGCTAAATAAGGTGTTTTTAGTTTTTATTTTATTTATTTTTAATGACCAATAAAAGGGAAGGGTTCCACAAAATATATACAGTGGTATTACAAATTTGAAATAAAATCTCATGTTCATTAGGTTGAGACTCAAACTCTAACCCAAAGATTTGGTTTGGTGGATGAGACCTAAGACTCAGGGGTTTGTTCCTTTTAAGGTCTCAGGTTCGACTCTTCTCGTCAACAAAACCCTTGAGGTCACGGTACACGTGAGTTGGCACAAAATACCTTACATATCAAAAAGAAAAAAAAGAAAAAATAGAGGCTCGAAAACAAGTGTCTTGGAATGGGTACATGTTTATTATTAGAGAGACTGAATGTATGGTAAAAATAGAGTTTGGAACAGAAAATAAACAAAAAATTGAAGCTATTATGTATGGTAAAGAAAGAGTTTGGAATAAAGAAAAAAATTTGAAGACTAGTCTACTTCTTCTTCTTCTTTTTCTTCTTTTTTTTTTTGTTTTTTTGTTTTTTTTTTTTTGACGCTTAAACAGAGGGATCCACTTGCATGAGAAAGCGTGACAATAACAAGGACCAAAATCCGCACCGCATCTTTACTGTTGACCTTAACTCCAAGACATAAAAAGAGAAAAATCATAGACAAATCACGGGTTCGTTTGCTTTGAATTTCCCAAAACTTTTTGGGAAAATTTCTCTACAAATGAGTTTTCAGAAAAACTCAAACCAAACAAATTTTTTCAAAATTTTTTTTCAAAACTTGTAAACCAAACAAGTTTTCCAAACAAATCTCTCTCTCATACACATCAAATCAATCACTTTTTCCAAAACTCTCTCTCAAAATAATTTTCCAAAACATCTTTCCAAAAAAACCAAACCAAACAACTTTTCGTACTTTTTATCTCCCAAACTCATCTCCCAAAATCAAACCAAACAAGCCCCACATGTTTCTTTCTCATTGTTTTAGCTTAGGTCTCATTTTAACTTGGATCTTATTTGACAATATCATTTTTTAATCTAAAAATTAAAAAGTCAACAACTTATATTAAGGCTTGGTTTGACATAACTTAAAAAAGTCAAAAATTTAAAAAATCATTATCCTATTTAAGTCACATCATCTTATTTAAGTTACGTCACCTCTCTATCACATCACTTCAAATCCAACTCATACTCCACCCATAATTCATAAAAAGTCAAAAAGTGCACTTATTTAGTTTATTCCAAACAACCCCTTAGAAAGTCAAAAATTTCTTTTTCTTTCTATTTTTTACATATCTTTTCATAAAAAATCAAAAAGTCATCCCAAACATACTAATTTTTTTTATATCATATTTTAACCAAAAAATCAAAAAATTACTAAAAAAATATGTTCTCAAACGTGACTTTAATCATGCTTTAATTTCTTGATTAATCATCATCATAAAATCGTGGTCAATCTATTTACAAGGTTTTGAAGCTTTGTAATGCTTTTTGGAAAATTTACCCATAAGTTCTAGTTTCTAAAAAGTTGAACCATTTAGTCCTAAAAGTTTTCTTATGCTCCATTTAGTCCCATTTGCACATCAATCTAATGTTTGAAACATTAATCTGATATTCGAAATCTAATGTTCGAAACATTAATCTGATGTTCGAAATCTAATGTTCGAAACATTAATCTGATGTTTGAAACATTGTAATGGGACCTTTCAGTCTATAAGAAAACTTTTAGGACTAAACAGTGTATAAGTTATTAATTTGGGATTTATTGGTGCATCCCCCATGCTTTTTTCCTTCTAAAAATACTCACATTGTTAACAATTATTAAATTTTATTCACTTTTTTCTTTAATTAAATTATTACGTTCATATTTACTGTATATATATATATATATATATATGTATATAGGTATATTTTAATTTTTATGTATCAAAATATCTAATCAAATTTAACGCAATGATGAAACAAACGTTAAACAAGTCGAATTGAAATTGTTGATGACAATGAAGCTTATCAACTCCAAATATATTAATGCATATATATGAATGGAAAATGAGTAAGACCATTAATTAGTGCAATTACTAATGATGTGACAGTAAATTTTACCCACTACTACAATGATATTGTACTTATATTGTTTATTATTTTTTTAAATTAATACCAATTTATTAATATTAATTTAAAACACCACTTTTAATAGTGGCTATCGTTGCTGCTAAATATGAATGTGCAAACAAAATGTCAGGATTGAGTTGTTGATGGGTGTGAAAATAAAATCAAGAAAAATGCCCACTTGAATAGTGAAGAAGACAAGATATATCAAATCAACAACATATATTTTCTTTTCTGGATTTTATTTAAAAAAATAAAAATCACTCATCTAATGAATAAGACAAGAAATCAAATCATCAAATATTTTCTTTCTTGGATTTATTTATTTATTTAATAAATGGATCACCAGTCCAATGAATAAGACAGTCATTATTATCAGTAAAAAAGCGGATAAGACAAAGAACACAAAAGATAGCACAGGGTGAAAGTTGAAAGCAATATATTCTTTAATTTATCCTCTTTTTTTATAGGATTATTGAATAATAAATAAAATCTTGTTAAAATATTACGTAATATGATTACCTATGAAAACAACAAAAGAGAAGCATGACAGAACAAAAAAAAAAAAAAAAAAAATCCACGTGGGTAGCGGTTAAGAAAACTTACAGAAAAAATAAAAATTAAAAAAAAGGGGTCAAATAAAGAGGATAAATTACAAATAAGTTTTACCTTTAAGACTCATTACCTATTAAATTTTATTGACAAATTTAATTTTATCAATTTTTTTATAAATAAATTTACAATAATAAATTTATCAATCAAAATTTATAAATAAATAAGTGTAGTTAATAAGATTAATTAATAAATATTCTCAAAAAAAATAATCAAGAAATTTACACCGACGTGATGTGGATTTCATATCCACATGCATGGGTACTTCATTTTTATTTTTTTGCATAAATTTTATGAGTTCCTAACATTGGTGAAAGATTTACTTATTTTGAGATGAATAGGAAGTTTATATGTTTTGGGTTTAACTATTCAATTTTAATTAATACATAATTTGTGAGTGATTGTATGTATTTAGAATTGGAGAATTTACAATCCAGTGACTCTTTCACAAAATAAGTACACATTTGTAAAAAATAATTATAATTATAATTATAATTATTAATATTTATAAAATTTATCAATAATTTAAAATTATTTTTTAAAAATTATACCGAATTGAAAATTTCAATTTAGAATATTTACTTGTAAGGTGAGTCAAATGTCAACAACATGTTCGTCCTTAGTCAAGCAAATAAATAAATACAGATGCAGTAATGATTATCATATAGCAACAATTATTCAAACTCCAATTGGTCTATCATTTCTTTAGAATTCGGTTTTTCCATCATTATCGGAAAGAAATTGGTAACTTCCACAATGGAATCATTAGATCACATATAATCATAACCAAGCACAGAATTGAGAGCAAAGTTGTGAAAATTGAGTTCAAGCACAAGACTAGATCTAACATCAATAGTATCACATATATTGTATAAAGTATTGTTTACTCTGTTAAAATTATATAGATTCATATCAATTTGTATTGCTTTATCTATTAAGCACAATTTAAATTTTAAAATTTACAATTCGCTTTCGAAACCGCTCCATTTCGCTATAGTAAAAATATATATATTATTTAATCTATAATGAAATATCAAAGTAAAAATGAATGTGAGAGATCCTTAATATGTGAAATTTATTACAAATTAGTAGTTATATACACAAAAAATATTATGTAAAATTAGTTTGTGTTATATATATGAACAATATTATGAAAATTAGTGTTATATATTATGTAAATGCTTGATAATTGATTAAAATATTTTTCAATCCGTCCAAAACCGCTCAAACCGCAATTTGTCAATCCGTCAATCTGTTAATCCGCCATTCAATTTATAATTTTACTCTCAAACTGTTCAAATTGCACCGTGTACACCCCAAATCACATACATGCCAATTTTTAGATAATATGTTAAATTGTTCACATTATAGCATACCTAATTGATGTTAACATGCCAATAAAGGTCACATTTGTTGGGCAGAAGGAGGTGAGTTTAGGATTGACACAATTGTTTCTTACATCACGTTTGGATTGGATTATTTGAAAAGGAAAAAACACGATACTTATGTAATAAATTTTAATTTTTTTTATTAGGTTTCCAAACAAAGAGTTAATCCTCCCATCCTTTATTTGGTTGACCGAAGTCAGAAGCTTAGCTGTCTAACTACCTAAAAATGGTGGAATAACTAATCCTCCTCTACCCGGGAAAAATTAATACAGACCTTTGAATTATCTTCCAAACTTTATCTCATCTTTTATCTTGCTCCGACCAAAAACAGGCCTTGTGCGCTACAATTTATTGTCAGCTTAAAAAAAAAAAAAATAAAAAATAAAAAATAAAAAAAAGTAAGTATATCACACACTCAAACTTCAAAATTTTTTTTGCTGCAAAGGCAAATAAACTGAAAACCTAAAATAATTTATCAAACACCCTAGGCAAAGGTTCAGTGCAGATCACTTGATCAGAACTCAGAAATATGTATATAAAAGTCTGTACTGACACCTATGATGCATTGAATCTAATTGGAAGATGCACCTTCAATTCCTACATTTTTCACGCATGTACTTCTTGTACAAGTATTATCATCAATTCTAGAACACAAAACTATTATTCATCAATCTCCACTTGATGCCGAGTACATCAACATCTAGTCACTGGTGTTTTCTTCAACTGAAAAAGCTGAGGTGCGTTTGGTTCTCTTTTGAGTTACGATTTCAATTGAAAATTTTAAAAATTCATTACTATGTTTGAGATATTTTTTAATTTTTTACGAAAAAATGTGTAAAAAATAGAGAGAAAAGAGAATATTTGAATTTTGGTATAAGTTGTTGGCTTTTTAATTTTTTTAATAACTTTTGATTTTTTGACTAAAAAGGCCACTTGCCAAACAAGACCTAAATATACAATTCAAAATTATTCAAAACTTAATTAAAAAATTATTTTTAAAACTCATAACCATACACACAACTCAAAACTCAATTCAAATTTTTTTTTTTAAATTTAAAACCAAACTATTTTCAAAACTCTATTTAAAAAAAAAAAATTCAATTTTTTTTTTATTATTTTGTTTTTTAAAATTATCTTAGAATCATGATTTGAGTGTGGAATCTTGTTTTGAATTATAAGTTTTGAAAAGAAAAATTTGTTTATTTATGAATTTTGTAAAGAGGCTTTAAGTTGTATTTTGAAAATTTTGAAAATTATTTATTTTTAAATATTTAAAAGATTTCTTAATTTTATTTTTTTAGATTAAATATTTTATATTTTAAATATTTATTTATTTATTTAAATGTGTACTATATTTCATACATTTGTTTGTTTTATTTTTAAAAATATTTAATTTTTTTTTAAATATTAGAAAATTTAAAATTTTTTATTTTATTTTATAAATATATTTTAAATATTTTATTTTTTTAGTTATATATTTGATTACGATTTGAGTGTGGAGTTGTGTTTTAAATTTAAAATATTAAAATTAAAAAAATTAAAATATTCACAAAATAAAATAAAGGGACACTTTTTCATAAATCCCCTTTCACTTACTTATGTTCCAATTATTCCACATTCTTTTCTTATATTTCAATAAGTTCTATAAGTGACATAGTTGCCAAAATACCCCTAATAATATTCATATTTATAGTGTGAATATTCCATGATGTATTCACACTGTCAATGTGAATATTCACACCATCAATGTAAATGTTAACATATCAATGTCAATGTGAATATTCACATTGTCAATATGAATGTTCACACTGTTAATGCAAGCATTCACACGTTAATGTGAATATTCACATTGCAAAACATGAATGTTCCCATCATCAAATTGCTAACCGTTCAAAAAATATTTGCAAGGATAAAAATGTCTATAAAATATTTTAAATATGAGAATTAAGATTAGATAAATCAAATATTCAAATATTAGGACTTATTGGAATACAAGAATATCTTATGGACTAACTGGAATAAGAACACTTGAAAAAGAATTTTCTAATAAATCTCCCTAAAATAAAATATTTAAAATAAAGAAAGAAAAAATATTTAAATAAAAATTATATATTTAAAATAAAAAATAAAATTTTCTTAATACAACTCAAAAGTCAAAAACTCAAAACTCAAAATACAACTCAAGAGTTTTTTCAAAACTCAAAACCCTTTTCAAAATTTAAAAATTCTTTTCAAAATTCATAATCAAACAAATTTTCTATTTTCAAAACCCAATTCATAATTTCACACTTAAATCACAACTCTACACAAATCATAATTTCAAAACTAAACTAAACGTAGCCTGAGATTTTCAGGTAATCAGATACAGCTTTCGAAAATCACATACGTGAGTGTCGAAGCGTCTGACACAGGTAGTTCAAAAATTTAAAAGAGTTCAAGCAACCTAGCCTACTAGAAAGTATATGCAAAGGCATCCCTCGGAGAGGGTCAAGTGTACAATGAAAATTATATCTGACAAGAAACTGAAAAAGGAACAAAATTTTAGAAAACAATGGACTCTACTGCTACCCATTTGTACAACGATTCAAATTTTGCAACTTATCTGTTGAACTTTGCAACCATTCAATGGTCTTGGCTTCAAACTTTTTGCAGCTTTCATTGATTTGAAAGCAAGAAATATGACAGCAATTCCATGTGAGTGATGCCTTTTGACACCTTTTCACATTACGGAAGTATCTCTGAAGATAGGCTCCGAAGTCTCTCGTTCTTCGTGCATTCCTCCTGCAAATTTGTGAGAAATTAGAATAGAGAGAACACAACTGATTTGCATGGATCCAAAATGTTAGGTCGTAACAAAAAATGTTACATATAAAGATGTAAGTAGTACCATTGTTGACAACAATGATCATGGCCATGATGACAATTAGGATGTGTATGTATATATACATTCCCCTTATTGATAAAGTTATCTGTTAATTATTACACAGATTTTTATAGTGAAATTCGCTTTTTCATCAATTGAGACGGAGCCATTAATTGTTTTGCAGTTCAACTGTAAGAGGGACACTGAACTTTAGGAATAAATTCAGTAGTTAAAAACTGAAGGTTTAATATTGTGAATGAAGTCCTACTTTCTAGTAATTGTGGATCACCTCCTGAATCATCACAAAGAAATAGAAAACTCATGTTTAACTGAATCTGAGTAGTTGGTGCTCTCACTAAAGATTTTAAAATTGTGACAACCATGCTTACCTGGAAGGCCTTTAAGAGAGAATAGCATGATCTTTGTTCCACAATTGCTGCAGCATACCTTTGCTTGACAGCATCACGGACATTCCGTTCTGCTTCTAGTGTGAGTCGCACCTTTTCGAGCTTCTGTAAAACACACTGGAACAATAAACATCCCCTAAAAAATATAAAGTCATTTCAGACAAATATATCTACAACCAGTTGGTTCCTCTATTGACTGGTTTGAAATGATTTCCGATTTGGACTGTTCCATCAGTCCCCTATCATTAAAGGATTCCGATCTATCCACTAAATATTAACACAAATTTAAATATTGGGACCGAAATGACACAAATCTCATACTTTGGGGGACTAAAAATGTAATTAACCCAAGAATGAACTAGCTGCATGGTAATATTTAAATGAACTGTGGTGTTGAGGTCTTTCATCAGAAAATTCCCAGATGAAATTTTTTAGTGGAGTCCTGACCAGTCATGCAAATTCAACTTTCCATGGATAGGGAATTGATCTCCTAAGGCTCCTTTTAAGGTGGGATTTTTGGTGTGGACAATCATCCATGGAAAGATTTTAACCATTGATCTGTAGACGTCATATTATGGTAAATTGGTGTTGCACATGTAAGCAAATATTGGAAATTGGTTGACCACTACCTCATTCATTGCCTCGTGGCTAGTGAGCCTTGGTTTTTGATTTTTACCTTTTTTGGGAGAACTGGTTTTGGAACTAGTTATTAACTGACAGTTTTATGGACATTCAATTATTTAGGAATGGAGAGACTAAAAAGGTTCAATTTTCCACATCTCCTCACATACATTTCACAGGTACAAACTGGGACATTACAGGAAACAAGGCATATTAAAATTTGCAGGAAATATATACTGTTCAGTTTTTTGTAGGATATTTTGCAAGGACTAGGTTGGTTTCTTCATTTTGCATCTCCAACAGGAAGTGAAAACAACTTCAGACATAAAATCTATATTTTGAAGACCTTGGCCAGTTGTTCAGCAGTTCTTTTACTTACCCGTAAACCAATCACAGAAACGGAAAACTCTTTCACATGGGTGTGGGACCCACCTTATGTGAGAGGGTTGTGTCCAGTTTTGTGATCGGTTTCTGTATTCTACTTTTTCGATTTATCAAACAATTGGTAAAAATTCCATACTAGTTTTAAATAGATTTGTAGTTTATGTGGTTAACAAACAAGAAAACAAGTGTTTGCCTGTTGAGTTCCCTTCGAAATTCCTTCCATGGAATCAACAAGTTTCGTGCGACCAGCAGTGCTAGTAATAGCATCTTGAAACTGTGCAAAATACATGCAAAATTAGTCAGAAACGATGAGGGATGTCCGCCATTAGGTAAAAGATAAAAATTCTCCAGCATAAAGCAAGTTACAAAGTATATAATAGCATATTTTACACTCCAGTTCATTGTCTCAATGTTACAAAGAAGATTTTTGTACCATCAATAACCCCAAGCAAATATAATAGCTTACGTAATATCAATAATCCATACAAAAATAACTTAGTTCACTACCTGAAACTATAAAAGATAAGGAAAGAATATAGCACATGGGACTCGGGAGTACATATCATACCCCTATGGTCCAAGACTTGAATCCGTTTATTACGTGTGGAAACATAATTTACAAAAAACTATGAATTTTTTACTGAATTTTTTTGCTTGAAGATGATAATATTGGAAGCAAACCCACCTAATAATTGTATATAACCTAGGGCCAGAAGAAAACCATAATTTACACACACACACACACACACACACACACACACACAAAAAAAACTCTATGTTGTTTGTTAATACATATTTTAGCACAATTCCCACCTTAACTCTCAACAATTGTATGAAAGAAAAAGGCCAGAAAGAGTTTTTTCATGTTCTTTTCATACTAAAAATGAGCAAGACTTCAAACTAGTTTTCTCACATGCTTTTGATATTAAAAATTGAGCAAAATAACAAGCTAGTGGAGCATATAAACCACACCACACTACCAAAACTATAAATCATTCAACCTTTCCAACCTTTCACTTTAATTCAGTAGCATTCCAAATACTCCCCTTATCCCTCATGAATCTAGATTTCCATCACAGGGGAAATATGGCAAAGCGACACAATAACAAGCATTTCGTATTGATATGCAAAATACATCAACGAGTAAGCCATGAAATTGCCTACCAAAAACAAATATAAAAAACTAGTCAAGAAAATTTAAATCCAAAAGGAAGAATGCATGTAAGGTCAATCAACAAAAGAAAGCAGACAAGGAAGTAAAATATGGCAATAATTAGCATTAGATATAGAGCACTACAAATATATGTCCGTGAAAAGATGGATTCGTGAATAAAAGGTAAACAATTGTAACTAAGAAGATCCAAATCTAAGATTCACACGTAAGGAGATTGTGGGTGAATGGGGTGATGCTCTCATCAGAAGAGGATATCTAAGATGGTATCGTGGGATTCTATCAACACCTTCTTAGGGATAACGGGGGAGGTATAGAGGCCGGTTTTGGATGAAGTAGCTTTTGACACTATTTTAGAAGCGGAAGTTTTGATGCTGGAGCGTCCTTTCTCAGAGGAGGAGGTTTTGGGGGCACTGAAAAGTATGCTTGGGGATAAAGCCCCTGGGCTTGATGGTTTTACTATGACTTTCTTTCAGCAGTGTTGGGGCGTGGTGAAGGCATAGGTGATGGCTATGTTTGAGCAGTTTCATCAGGCGGGGCACTTTGAGAAGATTCTTAATGCAACTTTTATAGCCTTGATTTCTAAGAAAGGAGGGGCGGAGGATATTAGAGACTTTCAACCCATCAGTTTTCTAGAGAGTGTCAACAAGTTATTGGCTAAAGTTCTGGCTAATAGACTTCGGGGAGTTCTGGAGGGGGTGATATCTGAGTCTCAAAATGCTTTTGTGGGAGGTCGTCAGATTTTGGATACTATGCTTGTGGCTAATGAATGTGTGGATTTGTGGGTTTGGCAAGAGAAGGAGGGGATAATTTGCAAATTGGATATTGAGAAGGCCTATGACAATGTGAATTGAAATTTTCTGTTGTATGTGCTTCAGAGGATGGGCTTTGGGGAGAGGTGGAGGCGATGGGTTCAATTTTGCTTTCCACGGTGCGAATGTTGGTGTTGGTTAATAGGATGACGGCGGGCTTCTTTCCCATATGGAGAGGTTTGCGGCAGGGGGGGACCCATTGTCTCCATTATTGTTTATTTTGGTTATGGAGGCGTTTAGTCAGTTGTAATCCAGAACGGTCCAGGAGGGTTTGTTGTCAGGTTTTGAGGTAGGAATAGGATCCAATCCTCTGTTGGATTTGTGGGTTCGACAAGAGAAGGAGGGGATAATTTGCAAATTGGATATTGAGAAGGTCTATGATAATGTGAATTGGAATTTTATGTTATATGTGCTTCAGAGGATGGGCTTTGGAAAGAGGTGGAGGCAATGGGTTCAATTTTGCTTTCCACGGTGCGAATGTTTGTGTTGGTTAATAGGACGACGGCGGGCTTCTTTCCCATATGGAGAGGTTTGCGGCAGGGGGGACCCATTATCTCCATTATTGTTTATTTTGGTTATGGAGGTGTTTAGTCAGTTGTTATCCAGAACGGTCCAGAACGGTTTGTTGTCAAGTTTTGAGGTGGGAATAGGATCCAATCCTCTGTTGGTATCGCATCTCTTTTATGCTGATGATGCACTCATTTTTTGTGATGCGGATGCGGCTCAGATTGGTCATTTACGGTGTATGCTATTGTGCTTTGAGGTGGTGTTAGGGCTTCGTGTTAATTTAGCAAAGTCAGAATTGATTCCTGTGAGTGAGGTGGTGTGACTTCCAGAATTGGCAACTATTCTGGGTTGCAAAGTGGCTATGTTACCAGTTTCTTATTTAGAACTTCCTTGGGGCTACCTTTAAGACGAAGGGGGTGTGGGATGGGGTGGTAGAAAGAATGCAGCGGCGTTTGGCTAGGTGGAAACTGCAATACTTATCTAAAGGGGGACAGATCACGTTGATTAAAAGTGTTCTGTCTAGTATTCCAACATATTTTATGTCATTGCATGTAATACCGTAGATTTTGTGAAGGATTTGATTAGTTAGTTTTGCTTGGCCCTTTGCGGGTTGTATTTTTGTGTTCCTTACATTGTCTTGATGCCTTTCTAATAAAGTTTGATTATTTATCCCAAAAAAAAAAAAAAAAAAAAAAAAAAATCTAAGATTCACACGCACAAACTCAAGACCAAAAAATAAGGATGCTATTCTACTTAGCCTATACCTGTGAACTTATAGAGTTTAACAAAGAAGTCTCCTTTAGCATCAAGTCTTTTATCTCTAACATCGCATTAAAGGTGGCATACAATTCACGAGTTTGCCGAAGTTTTTCCTGCATATTTGCAGAGTGAATACATTTAGTTAAAGTTAGTTAAGCTTGGAGGCAATAAGAAATTCATAAAAGATAATCAAATGTCACAGAACTAACCAACCATAGTATTTCCATACCTGAATATGAACATAAAGTTCTGAAAAGCGGTGTTCATACCTGTTGAAAGAGATTTTAGTCAGAGATCAAATATATCCTAATGAAACATGTATGTAAAATTGCCTGTCTTCGAATAGTGCCACATCACATAATATGTTATGTGGGCGAGAGAGACATACTGAATTAGTTCTTCTTGCGATGGCACGTCATCAAGCTGCCGTTTGAGCAATACAATTTCCCTAAGCTTAACAGCAAGTTCCTACACCAAAAATTTCACTACTTTTTAGTTCATAAATAGAAAGGTGATAATTTTCCCATGCTTTAGGAAGAAGTTTTGTACTTCATACAATTGAATGTCATTAACGAAAGAAACTATGAACACATCGCTTGAATGTGTTTAGATCAACTTGTTTATTGCATATCTTGGACTCCAACTTAAAATCACCATTTTTTAATGGTAAGCAATATTTCATACTGTAGGTACATGTATTTGGATTTCCAATGTGGCGAGACATGTCATTGATGGTGGGTTGGCTGAAGATGCCCCCGTCACATCGTAAGGCATGACAAAAGTCTTGCCTTGGTGCATCACCCGGCTCCTTGCCTTGCATGGGTTTCCTTGCCTAGCTTGGGTCTCCTTGCCTTGTATCACATGCCTTCTAGGCCTCCATAAGAAGACAAGGGATAACGATAAAGACATGTGAGTATACGACTAAAGATACATACCCTCTACAGCTCTTGATATGATCCCTAAGGTCTGAGCACTGGTGTAGTTGGGACACAGGAAATGAGCCACCTGTACCTGACCATGAGAAGGTTGAGCTGGCCCCTGACACTTCTATAAAAGGAGGCATCCACCTCCACATCAGATGATATACATGACAACCATATTCAGCATCTCTCTGTGCACTAACAAGCCATAACAGAGCAAGGCATAACCCACTAAATATCAAAGATGGATGAACCAAATTCTAGAGTCATAGTGCAGTAAAAGAAGGTTAGCAGTCTCCTTTCCTTCATGCCATATAACACTAATCAATGAGGGTGTTCAAAAGGCTAAGAGGATCCACTGAAGATACATTATTACTTCGAAAGATTTATACCCTGCGGTGATGTAGAACAAAAACTTCTCACAGGATTCTAGGAGATTTTCCCACACGTGTGATAGTTTATAAAATCTCAACCTATGCATTCTCTTTTCTATGTAAAAGACTCCTAGACCATATACTTCATTTTTGGCAAGTACATTAATTTTGAACTCTTAAAATATATATATATATATATATATTACAATTCATATTATGACTCACAGGGTATACAGACATCAAGCAAAACTGGTAAGTTCTTTGAAATTCAAGTTCAAAAAGTAATGAATTCCTAAAAAATTCAAAAAATATGCAATAAAGTGGTATATAGTGGAAAAATGAAAAGTAGCACATGCATAGGTGTCGGGATATTGTTTGGTTGGCATTCCATGCACAACAAAACATTGTATGTAAAAAACTAACAGAGCAATCATCCAGTCAGAAATAGGGAATAAGGAAAGACCCCCTCCACTATGGAACAATTTCCAACATATCAATACCGACAAAAAGTTGCACACATCTTGTTAGAACAACAACAGAGGTATGATTGTGGTGGAATACAGAATGATGTAATTATCGACCAAGGCAATTTAAAGATGCTAACATGTAAAAGCAAAAGAATACTAGAGGGCAATGCACTAATATGGAATTGCATCCAGCCATATAATGAGAGATAGAAACCTAATGACAATAGCAAAGGACCTAACTGTGGTTTGTGTTTGATAAGTACTTGTAGATAGTGATGGAATCTTACCCTCTTTGCAGAATTCAGTCTCTCAAGACTATTGTACAAAGAATGATTGATACCATGAGAGAGGTTAGCGTCATCGTTGCCACAAATTATATTCTCCAGTTCATTAACCTCAGCTTGCAATTTAGAATATTTTGCATTGCAATTGGACTTGTGTTCAGATTCTTGCATCTCCAGAGCCTGAGGAGACCTTCAGCAATTGAGTTAGGAAACAGACGTAGTAAATAAAAAAGAAAACTCATCAATATTAAATAATGAAAGTCATTGCTGTTCATTTATTCCAATATAGAACATGCATATATGTTGAAGTATCAATGATGAGAAAGTGCTGATGTAAATAGAAACTTGTGAGAAAAAAAATTGGATGAACACTTAATTGCTATGTGGGTCTGCAATATGCTCAATTCACATATCAAGCTAATCTTTGCATCTAAAAGAGTCTTGTTTTCAGTATCCGAGGCTTTCTCTTCTGGATTTTTCACAATGCTCACTAATGCTTACGTAACAATTCAATCTTTACACAATGAAAAAAAATTCCCAACAGACATATTATCAGTCAAGTTGTGATGAATGACAACATCAGATGGTATTGTGACAAAATTGCATGTGTACATTCCTTCTCTTTTGCTTTCAATACATCAACAATACTATAAAGATTCACCAAAAGAATGTCAAAAGTGGGATTAGTTGGAAGTTAGGCATAATATTAACAAAAAAAATTGCCAATCACATGAGTTTTGATGCAAGCTTGAAGTTAATCATGAATGCATAGGAAGTTCTGAAAGTGGCATCCAGTTACCTTCAGTGACTGTGAGAGTGATGACAATCTCTGCACCACATCAGTAGTACCCTCCCTACTGATTCTCTCTTGTAGATGTTGCATCTTATTCAAACAATTAGCCTTTCTTTGATTCTGGAGAACAGAACAAGTGTCATAAAAGTGATTATAAACCAAACAATTAAGATATTTGGGATGATCTAAATAAGTATACTTTTTGACCTAAATAAGATGATTGTGGCCCAAATAGGATAATGTGCTAAAATAGCATGCCAAACACCCCCTAAATCAATTTTACATACAAAAAAGAGGCATTTAAGAAAAATGAACCATCTCCTGTCCTTCAATTTTCTTTTTCAACAGGATACCGCCGATTCATTTTCCAAATTTTGAAAATAACAATGAAAAATAAACCAGCCATACACTTGTATTACAATTCCAGAATAGGTCTTACCAATTGTTCTAGGTTGGTGTTCAGTGTATCTATTGAACTCCCTACATTCTTCAACTCCTCCTGAAGCTGCACAAAAGCATGCTCCTCCTCTTCAATGGAATTTTCCGTGCAAGTAACCTAAGCATTCCACACATAAAAGCCAGAATAGCATTAGAAACTAAACAATGATAATACAACATTTCACTTTCCAGAGAAACTAATGATGCCATTTTATTCACATGCTTCAATCTAATCCAGCATCAATTCAAAAATTTATTGATTGGTTATCAACTCAAACAACAATCAGAATTGAAACGCATGCAGAACCAAACTATACCAGACTAAATGGCTATGACTTTTGCTTTGATTAGTTTTAATGTTGGAAGTTTAATGCCAACTAGTACCACAGCATTCCTCAGACAAGAAAAAAAATTCTATTAAAAAAGCACTTAAATTAAGGGTTGGTTTGGGATGTTCTAAAAAAGTATACTTTTTGACTTATTGGCTTATATGGGTTGGGTTTGGGTTGGGTTTGATGTGATGTGCTAGAGAGGTGATGTGATTTAAATAAGATGATGTGACTTAAATAGGATAGTGACTTTTTGACTTTTTGTATTATTTAGTTTATGCCAAACCAACCCTAAGAATGGGAAAACATCTTCAAACACTACCTTTACAAGATACACTTCAAATGGGCACAATTATGACAATAAACAACCCAAAAAACCTCAAGAGTCGGTAAGCAAACAGACTTAAAAATTTGCCAATTGTTAAAACAGGTCAAGTTGTGCCAATAAAAATGCCTAAAATGGCACAGCATGAAGAAAAGGAATTCAAATGGAACCTTGGCAACTAAATTTCCCCAAAAATAAAAAATAAAAAATAAAACACCATCATAAGCATGAATGACTAAGAAAAATGGAAGCGAAGAATAGTGCATGCTACCATGTGTGCGAATATATATCTTGACATAATTGTATGTATTATTGATTGATTGTGTGTACTTCTGTCTATTACAAATGGTTCCTTATATAGATGTAGGTGTAGTGGATGGTGGTAGTGGTGTAGTGGGTTAGGTTTAGTGGAGTAGGTGAGGTGGTAGTGGTGTAGTGGGTTAGGTTTAGTGGAGTAGGTGAGGTGGTAGTGGTGGTAGGTGATGGTAAATTCTAACATTTCTTATGTGAAAATTGATATAGTCAGTAATATGAAAGTAAGAGTTACATATATGGGATGCAAAAAATATTGAGCTCCTTCTTACAGATGCAACATTATATACTAAGAATCACAAACATTTCTAAGTAGGTGTTGTGTCCGTGCTAGACATTTGAGTCATCATTTCCAACAAATGCCAACCACATGTCCGAATGTGTCCTATAATAGATATATATTTTTTATATAATTTTTTTAAATTGGTCAAATTTGATCCATTGTTGGTTGAGCATCATGGGTTCAAACAATGGAAACAAACTCTCTACACACGAGGATACGACTGTGTACATCACACTAGCACCGTCATTAATCGTCTTAGCACTGGTCAAATTTTGGACACGTGGTGGGTGACACACATCTTCATCACTTGGACACATAAAAGACTAAATTTGAAGAAAACAACCTGGAATCCCATGAGGTGGTGTTTGGGACGTAAGATTTTGACTAAAATAGCCGACAAAAATATGTTAAAATAATTAATAAGACAGAATGTCACATTCTACCCATTAATCAATATTTTTTCCCTGATAACCCATCTATTCAACTTTTAAAAAAAAACCTCAAATCATCCCAATTAACAAGAAGCCAACTAAAATAACCATAAATTCATCGAAATCCATCATCATGAATAACCAACATAATCATACCCTTTATCCAAACCAATCTTCATACCAACACCTTCATTGATTTCCAATAATTGATTAATAGAATTGCACATGGTTCACATCAGTCAAGGTTGGTGTAAAACCTTCAACCGGACCAACCTCAGTCAGTTCACAAAAAATGCAATAAAAAAACGAATTTCTGCCATTTTGGGTCCAAAAAGATATCTAATTTGAAATACCCATCTCATGAAAAAGAATAAAATTCAAACTGAAGATCCTCAAATCAAAACAACAGACCAAAAGATAAAATTTCAACAAAGGAGATTGAAAATACTGCATCAGAGAAGCAATCTTTAGGTGTAAAATTTAGAGAGAGACTATAAAATTACCATCTTTAAGGAAGCCCCGGCGAGCAAAGAAAGTGGAATGATGGACCGAAGATCGAAACAAAGCCTCACTGATCGGGAAGATAGATCCGATTTCTTGTTCGATTGTTACAAACGGGGTTTTTTTTATATTATTTATTAGGGTAAATTACATTGACACCCCTCTATTCTTCTAAAATCACACTGACACCCCGTCATTTATCTACCTCCGGCCACCTTCCCCTATCAAAATAACCACCATTGATCACACAATCACCCTACCATAACCCACCACCATTGCTTACCTCACTGCCCAAGTCAATTCAACCATCACAAAATCGATCATAGAAATCATACATGATTTAGAAAGAAAATGATAGAAAAAGTGAAATCAACCACAAATCAATAGTGTGATAACCATCAACCCAATATTTAGGATTTAGCTGTTGATGATGAAGTCTAGATTGTTGTGAGGTAGCCACCATTGATTAGTCATTACAACAAGAAGCCACAACAAGCAGGGCCTTATATTTTTACATATCATTTAAAATAATTATTAAAAAAAGTTAAAACCATACAATTTATTATTATTGTTTTATATTTTAACTATTTACATAAGAAAAAAAATAGTACACAAAAATTTAGAGTAGTAAATTAATTGAACTTAGTATCATTTAAACATTATTGTTTTTGCATTTATAGTTGTTGTGCGGAGAGCAAATATTCAGGCAAGTCCGCACTCCTTTTTTCCAAACTCCTCCCTGTCCGATCGACCTGCGAGCACAACGGCAGTAAGCTACCTGGCGGTGTGTGGCCGGAAAACCCCTCCGACGATCAAGTCAGACACACACACAGGGATAGAGAGAAAGAGAGGACTAAGTTATATTTAGTGTGTTTTCTCACCAAATTGTGTCATCTCCAGGCATAGGGGGCGCAGACTCGTTTATATACCTTCTGCGCCCCAAATCTACTCACATTCTTCTCTCGACACGTGGTGCTGCTATCCCATCTGTCAGCACAAATCTTGCTGAACATCACCTAACCAAACTGTTAGCCCACTCTACTGGGAGCTCGGCAGTCGGGCTGAATCTCCTCGGCTATCAACGGCCGTACTGTGCAGCTGGCCAGAGCGCTTCGCTCGCCGTGCTCAATGAGGACCGAGCTCGTTTGCATCCCGACATAGCCGAGCTCGGGACAGTTCATGCTGGTTTGTCGTCGGCCTTCCTGTCGGGCTAACTCACGAACCGTGGAACAACAAAGCCATTCCTGGCGCTGGACACATGACTTGCTCGGCTTCTATAGCATGCAGCCAAGTAGCTCGGTCTAACTACGCCTTGCCTTAACCAAGCAAATCCTTTCAGCGCACGGGTCGTGCTACCTCGGCCCAATCTTGTTCGGCCCAAATCTGTCCGACCATTATCACGGCCCAATCCAGATCATAAATCTCCCTCTCAGTTGTAAAATTGAATCAAGATTCAAGAGCTCTTAGTTGAGATTATTCTTTTATACTTTCTAGGAAATATGATTAAATAAAATTATATTCCATAATTCAATAAGTGGGTTGTTTTTTTGATTTTTTAACTTTTTGTTTGGGGATAAAAAGCTTAGTTTGGGAAATGTTTTTTTTTTTACTTTTTTGGCTTTTTGGCTTTTTGGCGAGGTGTTCACATGTTAAATGACCAAACTGCCCTTAGTGTTTTACATGTCAACTCCTACTCGTCCTTCCTCCACGTCAGCGTCACTGTACCTTATTATTATTATTTTTTTTTGGATTTGGCGTATTCTTATGGTTCTTTTTCCCATAATTTATGTTTTTGTCATTTTTATTTTTTTTGTATACACTACTTTGTTTTTATTTTTCAAAAATGATTTTTCATGTGTTTCATTTATTTTTAAATTACGTGGCAAATGCTAATTTCTGTTTTTAATTTTTTTTTTTTGGGATTAGGTTTATTTTTATGGTTCTTTGTTTTTTAAATTTATGTTTTTGTCATTTTTATTTTTTTTGTATACATTAATTTGTTTTTATTTTTCAAAAATGATTTTTCATGTGTTTCATTTATTTTTAAATTACGTGGCAAATGCTAATTTCTGTTTTTAATTTTAATTTTTTTTTGGATGAGGCATATTTTTGTGGTTCTTTTTTTTTTTAATTTACGTTTTTGTCATTTATATTTTTATTTGTATACATTAATTTGCTTTTATTTTTCAAAAATGGGTTTTTTTGTGTTTTATTTATTTTTAAATTACGTGGCAAATACTAATTTTTGTTTTTAATTTTTTTTAATGAGGCACATTTTTTTGGTTCTTTTTTTTTTAATTTACGTTTTTGTCATTTTTTTTCATTTGTAGACATTAATTTGTTTTTATTTTTCAAAAATGATTTTTCATGTGTTTTATTTATTTTAAAATTACGTGGCAAATGCTAATTTCTGTTTTTAATTTTTTTTTTTGGGGGATTAGGCTTATTTTTTTGGTTCTTTGTTTTTTAAATTTATGTTTCTGTCATTTTTATTTTTTTTGTATACATTAATTTGTTTTTATTTTTCAAAAATGGTTTTTCATGTGTTTGATTTATTTTTAAATTATGTGGCAAATGCTAATTTCTATTTTTAATTTTGTTTTTGGATGAGGCATATTTTTGTGGTTCTTTTTTTTTTAATTTATGTTTTTGTCATTTATATTTTTGTTTGTATACATTAATTTGTTTTTATTTTTCAAAAATGGGTTTCCATGTGTTTTATTTATTTTTAAATTACGTGGCAAATGCTAATTTCTGTTTTTAATTTTTTTTAACGAGGCATATTTTTGTGGTTCTTTTTTTTTTTTAATTTACATTTTTTTCATTTTTTTTATTTGTATACATTAATTTGTTTTTATTTTTCAAAAATGGTTTTTCCTGTGTTTTCTTTATTTTTAAATTATGTGGCAATTGCTAATTTATGTTTATAATATATATATATTTTACTTTGTTTTTTTTTGGAAAAAGGTTTTTTCATGTAATTTATTTAAAATAAAATAAAAATCATAATGTATTGACGTGGCACATGATAATTTTTTATGTCTCTTTTGGCTTTTTAAAATTTTAAATTATTATTCATCCACGTTCTTGTATAGTCGTAAACTTCTTTTAAAATTTATGTTTTAAAATTAATTTTTTAAAAATTAATTTTTAAAAGGAATAATAATTTTTAAATTATTCATCCACGTTCTTTTGTCCATGTGCACTTGCACACATGGGATATATACAACCCAATAAGCATAATAATAATATAAAAAAGTCATGAACACCGTGTGTTGCCTATCGAGAAACAGTCGAGAAAGTGCAAAGGCTTCGAAATCAAGAAACATTTGGATAAACTCTTGGATAAGATTAGTCACCAACCCAAGAAGTTCTAAATACATTGAGATCTGAGCAAACAGAATTCATGCAAATTTTTTCCTCTCCCAAAAAAGCTAATCTAATTTTTATGCGTCTTCAAAACAACACAGCTGTTTGTGCATATGAGGGAGAGAATGGGTTCAGTAATCTATCTTCATTTAATGAAGCCAACAAAATATTTTCATTAACACCTCTGCAATGTAACTCTTTCCTGTGTTGTTCATAACAACGTACAACTCGGAAGCTTTCCTACAATATCAATCTATTTCTCAATTTACTTCTCTTACATTTATATAAGAACAAATCAAGAAACATTTGGATGAACTCCGTGAATCTTGATGGTCTTTTTATTTTTTTTAAAGCAATAAACGACTTCATATCTATGTATTTCTCAATTTGTATCATAGATTGATCATAGATTTATGTAAGAACAGATTTATATCTATCTATTTCCCAATTTACTTCCCTTACATTTATATAAGAACAAATCAAGAACAGATTTATATAAGAACAGATGTATATCTGCTTCATTCTCAAATTACTTCTCATTTAAATGAAGAACAGATTTATAAATCAAGAGCAGATTTATATAAGAACAAATCAAGAATAGATTTGTATAAGAACAGATTTTTAAAGTACTTCACATATATCTATTTCTCAATTTTTATCATGGGTTGATCATAGATTTATGTAAGAACATATTTATATGTATCTATTTCTCAATTTACTTCTCTTACATTTATATAAGAACATATCCAAATCGAGTCCCAATTGGATGATTCCCCTATGTTGTGTTTGGTTGGGGGATTTGGGGAAGGATTTGGAAAGGGAAAGGAAAAAGGTGTGTGAAACTATGTGAAATGTAGGTATATTTTTTTCACATTTCACCTACCTTTTCCATGTCCCTTTCCAAATCCCTTCTCAAATCTCTCAACCAAACACAACATTAAGTCTCAACTGAAATGAACCCTAATGACCATGGATATGGAAATCTCATGATCTCCATTGAGCACTCTTGCCTATAAGTTTATTAGTCTTTTGTCTAATATGGTGTGTAGTTGTTTTTTCACAGGAAAATGAAGATGTCATAAATTGGATGAAGACACCATATACCTCTTCCTCAGCAAAGATAATTACTCAACAAAAAGGGATGAAAAATGTAAACAGAGCACTGTAATTCTCTATTGTAGTAAACAGAGCAGTGTAACATTCTACTTATAACAAACCATTACATTAATTTCACAGACCACTCTATGATGCTAATTTACTTTCTCTTACATTTTTTTTTTATTAGTGGGTGTTATTGGCCCATTTTGCACATTCATCATAGTAAACAATACATAAAAATTGAAGAGTATACAAACAATCTGAAATTGGAAATATTTGACTTGATTTGGGAAGTAAAACCTTAAAATCCATTTCCCAATTTTGTGTGTATCTGTGAAACCTTCAAAGTCTTCACATTCGGCAGTGGGTTTTCCACATGACAAACCAAACACAGAGTCCACAGAAATTGAAGTAATAAAAATTGTAATCACCCACTGAAAGGGATTAATCATATGAACCCAGCAGATTGGGATGCAGGGGACGGATTTACGCAAAAAAGAAAACGAAATCAAAACTGAAACAACCATTACTTGAAGATTGGTGGCGTTTCTTTTTGGTGAGTTGTTGTTCGACGCTGCAGATGTATGCCACAAGCGTTCGATTTTGGCAAGCTTTGCAAGTTTTCTTCGATGTCACAGATGTGTACTTCGGTGCCGATCAGCTGTGGCAAGCTTCGTCAGATGTCTTTGCCGTTGAGGGTCTCCAAATCGCCTCCTTCACTTCACCCTCTCTGTGTGGCCTAGAAATGTGTTGTGTGTGCAGTGAGGCGATGGCCCTCTCAATCAGGAGTGAGTGAGGGTAGTTTGGTAAATTAACCGAGGCATGGGTAGTTGCCAAGCACATGCTTGGCTTTTGTCTCCATTCGGCTAATTTAGCCTTTTTTGTCTGGTAGTGGCTAAAATAGCCCCAATTCGCCTTGCCAAACAGAGCCTAAGTAACAATCAATTCAATTATAAAAATTTTAATTTTTAAGTAAAGTG